TCTGCTACTTGTCTACTTCTATCCTCAAGTCTGAGTGGCCATTTAAATGGGCTTACAGAGAAACCATGACATGGCACTGAAAGTGGAAGTTTGACTTGACAAAGGAGGATTTTAGTGCAGTATTATTAGAATTTATATTTCTGTTCTTAAAATTGAGCTGTACATACCTTACTGTCCAGCAGTGTTCCAAACACCAAAATAAAGAAGCCCTTTTTTAAAAACAGAGTAACATTAGTTATCAAGGATTCAGTGATTAGAGATCCTACTATCATGGTATACAGATAGGGAAAAAAATGAATTTGTACCTGTAGCGAATTGAAGAATGCAAATGCAATATGGATTCCTTCATTTGTTGGTTCAGCCAGAATTCCAACTCCCAAACCCCAAGTTATGCCAAAAAATGGTGTGAGCACAGCCAAGCTCTTGGCAATAACCACTAAGACGTGCTTTTCCGCTCTTTGTGCAGCAGTTGTTCCAACCCTTCTCCTTATGATTTTGTACAAAACCACAACCAGGATAATGAGGTTTATCACCACTATAAAAAGTGCAGGAATCACAAATGCCAGCAGAGCTTTGGACTTATCCCAGTTGAGCCAGCATATGGTATTTTCTCGAATGTATCCGTTGTCAGGTGCAGTTGCAGCTATAGTTACTGTTGCAATGATGAGAGGAGCTCCGTAGCCTAGAAAAAATCCAATGGCCAGCATAGATGCTTTAGACAAACCCCCACCAAAAACATTAGTTGTACGGTAGAGCAGCAGCATAGCTGAGGCCAGCATCCAGAAGAACAGGGCTAGGTAGAAAAAATGGATAAAAAAGGTAGCTGCAGTGCATGCTGGGGGGTTTTTAACTTCTGCATCTGAAATGGCCGCTCCAATTATAAACCAAATGTTTGCAATCAGGAGGGAAACGGCGATGTTAACAATGGCAACATGACGCAAGTAAGAGGTTTCATTCTTTCTTATTTTTCTCCAAATGAGGCCTTCAATGATGAGACATATGACCAAGGATCCCATTGAAATGCCAACTCCAATGTAGGTTATAATGTCCAAATAGAGTTTCTTCGGACTGTTCGGTGACATGAGGATGGAGAATGAGGTCAGGTGGTTGCAGTTGCAGGTGACAGTTTTATTTATGTTTAACACTAACTTGCAGCCCTTGCCGTCCCATCCTCCCAGACCATCAAAGAGGCTGGAGTTCCAGAAGACACATTCAGGGTTTTCCAGTGTATCATTTAAAATATCATATGTGAAAGAGATATTATTGATTTGGCCACTAGACCGAACAAGTACAACCCTGCCGTTTATGGACTTGAGCGATGAATTGGCCTCATCTCTTGCAGGTAGTACATTATCTAATGAGTTAAATACTATCATAGTGATTGTTTTGTTATCTCCTTTAGACTCTGGTATTTGTATTGTCACTGAAGAATTAAATTTAGCATTGAAAGTGTCTGTGAATCTAGTTCTGTTTAACTGAATAAAGCCTGTCATAATGTCAAAAGTTGCATTGACAAGTTTAGATGTTATTATTTCAAGGGAGTCCAAAAATGATGAGCTAACACTTTTAACATCAGTGTTGCTTGAGATGCTTTTGGTGTCATTGTTATTCAGAAAGTTCCATGTTTGCTTTGTTCCATTGATGGTGAGAACCCCTGCTGTTATCAAGACATTCTATAGTAAAGAGAAAAGAATGATATTAGATTAAAAACATTAACTTTTCAGAATGTGAAAACGTCTGCAATTTAATCAACATACCTCCATTGAATCTCTGCTAATTGAGATATCGAGGGATGAAGACTTGTTGGCGACATTGATGAGTATTCTCACTATAGCTTTAATGTTGGGAGGAGATGTAATCACTTCTTCAGTAAAATTGACAGTGACGTCCTTGAGTTGTTTCAAAAATACTGGCAATGTAGTGGCAGTCAAGAACTGTGAGATTTGAACAGAGGAAAGAACAATGTTACATGGTAACTCTGCTTAATAATTTTATGTATTCTACTTATTTTACTTTCTTCTAGTTTTACTGTCGGTTTAAGCACAAGTGATGCACTTGCTTTAAAATCACATATGAGGCTTCTGATGCATTTTTCTCATTCCCTTTTTAAGGAGAACACTGGACCACACACACAGGACCACTGTGCATCAGCAGTACAGATATTCATTCATTACATACAGCCAATATACTGATATATAATTATTATTACACATAATTATTTGCTAGTCTTGGTACCAGGGAATCAGTCTGCCAGGGCCTCTGCTCCCATTTGACGTGCGACACCCATTGCAGCTGACCCCTATGGCACCTCCTACAGGACTGTGGGCCTACAGGAGGATGGGCCCATGTCCATTTTGCAGGCTGTGTCTGGCCAGGCCCTGTGGACTAAGGCTCAGCCACCAGACATTTGCCCTTGGGCACCCTCCCTAGGCCTGGCTCCGGGGCAGGACCCCAGTAACCCTATCCCGGGCAGGGTGAACTTCTCTGGTTAGGTTGCTGCCCCTGCGATCCGGCCCCATATAAGCGGAAGAAGATGGATGGATGGACATAATTATTTGTTAATAATTATAATAAAAAGCTAAGACAAGACCTAGAGATTGGTGATAGAAGTTATATTTACAGCTTGCTTCCATGAAGCTCCTTATGAACTGTTCTTTAACTAATCTGGAGGCCTTATAAAGTTTGAAGGTAGTGATTTACTCTGCCAAAGATTAATGACCTCTGCACATCCAGTGACCATATGATTTTACTATTTTGTGGCTGAGTTTCTACTGTACCCAGTCTCTTCCACAAAGTGAGAAAGATCAAAGAATTGACTGTGGACTTTAGGAGGACCATGAAACCACCACAACATAAATACCTCAGAGAGAACACTGACAATAAAGTGGAGTGGGTTAAAAACACAACTGCACTTTACAGGAAGGGCCAGAGTTTTCTCTATTTTCTGAGGCAGATGAGGTCTTTTAACATGTGTTGGATAATACTCTATGAATCTGTTGTGGGCAGTGCTTTCCTCTGTGATGTTGCATGCTGTACCCATTTTAGGTGGTGTTGGGGAGTAGGATGTTATCTAAGATAAGTTCAATACAGGACAATACCTCCCACCAACTCCATCACAGTTGCCAAATTAGGGTTTGGCTCAGACCATTACTACATCTGACCTCTGTATATTTTATACACACACACACACACACACACACACACACACACTTAATGATGTGCCTACATTATTATAGTTGTACATATATTTATTCTTTTAATTCTCATATTCCTATTCTTGTAATTCTCTTGTTTCTTGCATTTTGCACAAGACTGTTGCTTGAAGCTTGCACACAAGAATTTCACTCGCATGTGCTGTACCAGTGTACCAGTATATTGTGATGTGACAATAAAAGTAATTTGATTTGACTTGCATTGTGTTGCCTTAATTGAATCAATGATTCATTATCTGTTGTTGGAAACAACCAGATTGCTAGGTTACCTGGGACTGGTCAAGCAGCTCCTGAACTGGCAACAGGATGCAGTTGTATTCAACATCCTCAAATTCCCCATTTTTCTTACACACTGCAGTTATTTCTCCCACCTTATTTGGTCCTACAAATTTTGGATAACAGGGCACTGCAGCTTTGTAATCTATATCTCCTTGGCCAAATGTGTCATTTATACAGCGAGCATCTATGAAGAGAGAGAACAAATACATCATCAGTTTTAATATGTATTTTTCATTTTGTATGTATGAATGCATGTCCATGATCATACTTGTGAATATCTGAATGTATTAAGTAATACTCACTCTGTGAGGATAACTGTAGTGTTATTGCATTTGTAATTAAAGGTTGGTTTTTTAACTGACAGATGACTGTCTTTTCCCCTTGTTGACAACCTTGAGGTGTAGGATAATTATAGGTAATCGAAGTACCAGTGCCTAAACAACAACAGTAAAAGTAAGTTAAAAAATTAAGAGTAAGTTAAAAAAAAATCAAGATTGAAAAGTTACAAAATAATATTAATCAATAATATAAAAATATTAATCAAGTATAATAATATTAATCAAGTTAAATATATTTTAGTTTGTTTATTTTTGTGTCAGGCTTACCTGCTTCAGAAAAGTCCGGAAACTGAACCTCATACCCACCACTCACACTGCACTCCAGATTCACACTTCCTCCGGAACATTGCACATACTGTCTGATTGGTGAGACTCTGATTGTGGGTTTTGTTTTCAGACTGAAAGATGTTGCAGATTTCTGACGAAAAAATGCTTTGTCATTTGTGCGCATCAGCCGACATTCATAAACTCCTGTAGTTAAAATGGAATTGCTCAAATTAAACCAACAAAAGACGTATAAAATATTTGCAATAACAATAACAACATTTTTTAATGCACGTGGTTTTCCTCCCTCATACATTGAAACATTTCAACAAAACTAGCCTAAAACAATAACGTCTCCCAAATATTCATCCATTAAATAAAGGACAGTTTGCAAGTTTGCTGTCAAATTAGTTACTCACCTCCAGTTACAATATTTCTTTGCCTCCTTATTGCCACAATATTTCTTAGCCACAATTCTCCAAATATTTTAAAACGTTTCAGCTCTGAAAATTTAGCATTTTCCAAAATAGCTCATACATTCAGAAAGACAATGGTGAACGCAATAACTAACCCAAAACCTTTAAGTTTAGTTTAAAGAGACGTTTTGTCAACTAAGTCATTTTTACCAAAGCCACTAGTTCTTTTGACATTGTGTAAAATGGGGTGGTCAAATGTTTTAGACATTTCACTGAGTGAGTTCCTTATCTTATGATTTCCTGAAAGCCTTTTCCATGTTTTCAGCTGAATGCACATAATTTGAAACTTTGGGTGAAACTTTTGCTGCAATTTGTCTTTTATAAGCAGGTCAGACTGACTGATGCACTGACAATGATTGTGTTACACTGTAAGATGAATTTTACCCAGCCAATCAGATTTTTGCTGTTGCTCTAGCCTGGGTATTAATAGAAAACTGTGATGAAGGAGTTACATTTTAATTTTATTAAAATTAAAATATTATTACATTTTTAAAAGAAAATATTACAATACAATTAATTGAAAAAAATGTATTCCTATTAAATGTATCAATCCATTTCTTACCATCGTCAGCGCTAATAAACCTTGACACGGTTAAGGTTGATTTTCCATCCTCAGTTAAAATACTGTGTTCTCTTATCTTATCAGATATGAGCACTGTATTACGTCTCCACTCTGCTGCTGAGACATTGCCAAAATTGAGATTCTCTGGTGGAGGGCCACATGTGACAGTCACTATTTGCTCATAAAATCCATCATTTGGCGAAAATGTCAGGGGACCCGAGGCTTTAAGGACAAAAATGTCACACAATTATTAAACAACTATCTGGACCAACAGATATTCACAACATTTGAAAGCATAAATGTAAAAAACTACCATACCCTCAAATATTACAGGATATAATTTTGCCAGGTTGTTAGATATTTTTAAATTTAATCTCGGAATGTTTGGTATTTCAGAAAGGGGAGCAATGACTTGATATTGGGCAATGGTACTTCCACTCCTGCAACAGAGAATAGAATTCCTTTAAAAAAAAATGTAACCACAAAAGAATTGGCAACTCTTAAGTTCTCACATGCAATGTGTTCACTCACACAGGCCAAACAAGTTTCATCTCAAATAACAAAAACATCAAATGGCCCTAGTTATGGCAAAAAAAAAGAGAAAGAAATTACAGTAAATTGCAATTAATTAACAATACATTTTTTCTCTACTGGGTAAAGGCTAAATGTCAGACTATTTCCAGATTATATCTTTTTAGAATGAGTAGTAGAGACAGTTTTACTGCATGTTGAGTTTTCCCTCAGTCACATTAATTTACAATTTAACAGATGGAAATGTTTACAGTGAAGTCTTCGTTGTGATGAGGCAGGATAGATTAAGAAATTTCATCACATAAAAGTACCCTACGTTTACTGTTTTAATATCTTTTTATTCTTTCCTCCTAGTTTATTAAATAAAATATATTGTACACTTCATGGCTGAAGGTAATAAACAGAATCAGTGACAAAGCGCAGCCTTTGGCCAGCACTCTTCATCTTGCTGCCAAAGCAAACCAAGCATTCGGTCCATTTGTTAGTGAAGCCAGATATCTTGCATCAACAGGTCAATATTCATGGGCCACAATGGCCAACAGTGGGCCAAAGATGTCACGGTACTGGGTCTGGGACCCAATGTTTTCTGTTTTTTTATTTAGTTCTTGGTTTTGTTGTTTTTCGTGGTTTTGATTGTCGCTCTTGTTTCCTGCTTATGTTATTTATAGTTTGTAATGTTTAGGTTTCTGTCTCTGTGCCACTCCTGTCTTCCTTGTGTCACATCTAGTCAAGTTATGTTTTCATGTCTGTGCTTCTCCTTGTTTCACTGTTAAATCCCTATTTCTGTGCCTCTCGTGTTTCCTCTTACTTTGACGGTCTCATGTCCTATGCTATTGTTTTCAGTTTTGCTTCCTCCCTGTCTCGTTATGTGTGATTACTCCCAGCTGTGCTCTCCTCCTGTGTCTAATTCCCTCATTATCCCTCTGTATATTTACGCCCTTTATCTTCTGCTGTTTGCTGGTGGGTTGTCTGTGTATCACTCACTGCAGGTCTAAGGGTCCCATAGTCCATAGTTATAGTTTCAGTTGTTTAGTTTCGTTTTACTTGTTTCTAGTTTCCTCTCTGTTTAGGTCATATTAGTTTAGTCATTGTATTCCTGTATTTCTATTCGCTCTGCCCCAGTTAAAAGAATGTTTTCAGTTTAAGTTTGTTGTCAGTGTCTGCATTTGGGTCTACACTCTCTCCACTCCACACGTCTGTCATAGCCGACGTGACAAAAGAACACCCCGAGGACTTCATTTAAAGGCTTTTTGTAGGTTATGAAATGTTTAACATGATCAGTTTCCGGCTCGCCCTGTGGGCAGTCTTGACCCTTCAAGCTCAGGTCCTCTGCCAGATGCCTGCAGGCTTGAGGGTCCTTTGCAGGATCTTTGATGTTCCAAGGACTGCCCACTTCTAGATGTAGACCTCACATGTCGTTGCTGGGATCAGCTGGACCCTTTTGCTCAGTTTAGGAATCGCTGCCCTGAGTGCTCTGATTACCGCTGGGACCTATGTTGCATTCACCCTCCACAGCATTCTCATTAAATGTAAGGCTCCGTTTAAAAATAACAGAAAATAAAATGTGAAAATTGTGGCCTTCAAATGAAGTGCCTAACTTCAGAAAAATTCAATGAAAAAATTATTTCAAAATGAATGGGCACACTTTCGCAGATAATAAATCTCATCTTAAATCTTAACAACTGAAGAGTAGTGTCAGTAGGATCTTTTGACCCAGCGAGTTTTAGTTTATTTTGAGCCTTAATAAATGGCTCGTTTTTTGTTATTCCACGTCACGTTTCACATTCTGTTTTGGTCTGCTTTTGAGTCCTTCTTCACAATACATGCAGTCTGCCTCAGTCAGACTGTGACAGAACGACCTGACCATATAATGGACTCAGCAGACGGGAGGCAGCTTTCACTCAGCTGGAGGAAGAGCTCCACTGGACGTCGTGGCATGCTGCCAACTACAAGCGCATTGTCCGCGGGACCCAGCTGGCTCTCGGAGGTCCCTGGAGCTGACAAAAGCACCCACCTGTTGCTCCGCCTGCACCCAAGGCTTGCCCACTTCAGGTGGGAGTCCTCTGTGTAACTTCAGGTGCTCTCCAGGATGCATAGGGGTACTTTACTCATACTGGAGAAAGTTATCTCAGGGTGCTTTTGGAATAAAAAGAAAATGCACCATGACAGTTTCTAAGGGCCCAGGTATATAAAGCTTGTTGTACTTCTTTCCTCTTTTGTGTACTTCTTTCTTCATCACACCTTTCTGTAATTTCAATAGCTAGATGACTTCTCTCTAGTCTGCTTTGATCTTAGTCTCTTCCTCTCCATGGAGTGTTCTGCATATTGTAGCCAAGTATCTCAAAAGGTCACTCAAGGACTCAAGGACCTGGTAGGTTTTTAGTGATTGTCACACTCGGGATTATACGTAATGCTGTAGTAGACTTTCCCTTCACGTAGTCCTAAAATTCAGCCACAGAGGGTGTAGGTTTTCAACTTAGGCATAATCATTTCTTTTTCTTTAGGTCACCTGGTTTCGAATTCAGTGCCTTCAACACACCAGTAGTTCTTGGAGGTTGTTAACTAATCTCACCGGGTTAGGATGATAATATCCCCCCATAACTAGTTAACACTAAAATATCAGTTTTGTGAAAGGACTTTGCAAAAACAGGTGGAATGTTTCAATAACCATACTATAAAAGGAGTAGAAGAGGAAGGAAAAAAAACCTTTTTTTGGGTATTTTTGTTTTTATAAAAAAAAGACATTGTGAGTTACCGGAAATTAATTAATTTTGTTTTTATTCCTTGGTTTGTTCCTTCACCACTGATCTGTTTGAGACAATGACAAAACACAAGAAATAAATATCCCATACAGTTAGTAGATTGAGAACACAAGAAAACTAAATGACACAGAAAAACAGAAAATAAAGACTTACAGTGTCTCTAACAGTTATGTGAAAGTCATTGGTTTCCTCTTTGTATGCTTCCTTGAATTCAACATCCATAGTTATTTCAAGTGTCTGTGTCATTGGTGTGGTTGGTGTTGGTGTTGTCGTTGTTGTTGTTGTTGTTGTCGTCGTTGTTGTGTTTGACGTTGGTGTTGATGTTGTTGTTGGTGTTGTCGTCAATGTTGGTGTTGTCGTCAATGTTGGTGTTGTCGTCAATGTTGGTGTTGTCGTCAATGTTGGTGTTGTCGTCAATGTTGTGTTTGATGTTGGTGGTGTTGGTGTTGATGTTGTTGTTGTTGATGTTGGTGTTGTCGTCGATGTTGTGTTTGTTGTTGTGTTTGGAATTGTTGGTATTGACGATGTAGTTGTAATAGTTGGACATGGATTAAAAGCTGTGGAGAATAAATCAAAATCCACAGAAAAAGAAGGAAATTAACGCCAAAGTCCAAAACAAATTAATTTATTCAAGACATATTTGAATACATTCTGTGAGTATCCAAACTCTGGTCACGTAAAAATTATTTGCTGAATCCTTACTTGAAATTGGTTCACAGAACTCTCCACCAGGAGGAAGCCCTTTGATGCATTCACAGGTGTGCGAGGTGACATTACTGCATGCACCGTAAAGGCCACACTTGTCACATGACCAGGCAAACTGGTCCTCACATTGACACTGCAGTCCTCCAGTGGAGTTTGGATAGCACCCTGATAAAGACATTTAAGACAATCACCAAACACAGCTCATGAATCATGCACCAGAGTATGAACACATTTAAATGTGACTGAGCACAAAATTCTTACATGTGGTGAAGTTCAAGTCTTCTACGATTAAAGACCCAGTGATTGTTTGGGGGAAAGTCACATTTCTCATATAGCCTCTAAACAGATCAATGAAATTTGGAGGCAGACTGGATATTGGGAAAAGTAAGTTCAAGTCTATATTAAACTCCACTGGCTCTGTAGAGGAGACAAGAAGAAAATCATCAAAAAACAAACAAACATGAGTTTCCTTGGCTGGGCAGCTGCAGCTGCTCCAATCAAACATAAATTATTTAATTTTGAAAACAACATTTATTTTGATGCAAATGTTTATTATAATGATGAATTATATTCTAAATGTTATTCAAGAAGAAATGTAATAGTATTTGCATATTGCATTTAAATAGTAGAAGCATTTATATAAATCTTGTTGAAATTGGAAATTATTTAAAAACATTAAATTATCGGTTTCAAGTGACCTAGTAAACCTAGTCAGATTACCAAAGACAGTACTATCGTTATTGACAAAATTGATTTTCCGAATGCTCATTTTTCAATAACAAGTGGATTTCTTTTGACTTATTGAAGTTATCATCTCCCTATTTTTTTGGATTATAAATAGCTGTGTTGGTACAACAAAAGTCATTCATGTTTTAGATTTTACAGTGCAACTGATAATCTGGAGCTCACACAAGGACATTTATTCTTCACGTTACATTTCAAAGGCCATACCGGTTGTTGCTGTAGTAAAGGGTGGGGTTGATGGTGTTATAACTATGGAAACAGCAGCAATTTAGATTTTAGCATACTTTTTTATCTTTCAAATTCATATTTTCCAATGCAGCCACAAAATCTAATGTACATCATCCGTGCAACATTACATATTATGTCTGTTGCAACTTATATATTATGTTTTGAATATCAGGTGTTTGCTTTAAGGACATGCAGCAGAACACTTCAAGTGTTGTGGTTACATATTATCACCGTATAAGCTTTGGTCAGTAAAGATAGCTTAAATTTATATTTGAAGCTATATAAATTATTAACACAAATTGAATTGTTGAAAGATTTTTTAAGTACAGTTTGTAAGTAAAATGACTACACATCTTTGTAATGAAATTTACTGGGGAAAAAATACTTTAAAGAATGAACAAAGAAGCAAGAAGAATGTTCACATACCAGGAGTTGTTGTTGGACATGAAGAAACATCTATGGAGGAAAATTATGGCTTTAAAATGTTCATTTTCTAGTGAATGATAAAAATGATTAATGGCAAAGAAGTAAAAAACAAATGAAAGACAGACAAAAACGGAAAAAAGAACACACCCTCGTTTCTAACAACAAAAGGTTCAAGCTGAAGCATATGTTTAATAAATGATTCTAAGTAACCATAATTCTATGTTGTGCTGGTCAGACACATTTATTAATGTTTTTGGTGAAAGCACTTATCTTTTGCAACAGCTGGAAGATTTCAGTGCTTACTTGTGATTAGTTTACAGAACTCTCCCTTAGAAGGAAGGAAATGTGATGGAATTTCTATGTTAAGAATAAAATAGAAAATGTATTAAAGTGATTTTAGAGTTTAGACTGGGAGGGTTGAGAGAATGATAGGTTGTGCCTTGACATTGGATGATTTAATGTAAACAACATAATTTAATATGTAGATCTGTATTGGTGTCACTCCTTTCCAGGCAACTAAAACTGACCCAGTTATATGAACAAATGTACAGATATAGGTTGGAGCTTCCATTAACAGCTGTGGATGGCAGGACTCAACCTGCCAGGCTCCTCAGGTTCAACTATTTGTTAGGGTGCCTGGGTCATCGATCCAGTGGTTTTGGTTCTTTGATTTTGTTTATTTCATTATATTCTAGCTTTTCCTTATGGGTTATAGGATTATTCTTAGTTTAGGTTCTTTGTGTGGGTTTTGTTAGAGTTTTAGTGTTCTGGTTTTCTGTCTGTGATCCCTGTGCGTTTCTGTGTTATGTTTCCTGTTTTACTTTGAAGATCCATGTCTCATGTTAATGTATCTGGATTTGCCGCAGCTGTGTTTCCCTCCTTTTTCCCATTCCCTGATTGCTCCCTCTGTGTATTTAAGCCCTGTGTTTTCATCTGTGTTGTGATCAGCCAGCCAGCCAGCCAGCCAAGTGGCTTACTTGTGGTCAGTTCACAGAGCTCTCCAGTGAGAGGAAGCCCTTTTATGTACCTACAGGTTTGTGAGGTGACATTACTGCAGAGTGCAAGATATTTAAAAGTAGAATGGAGGCAGAGCCTTCAGTTTTCAGACTCCTCCTCAGTGAAACCATGGAACCAGCTCCCTTTTGAAGAAATAAAATACACTCATGTCTTAATGTTTTGAAATAACCTCAGACCTATAATTATAATTGGATGGGAACAATCAGTAATGAAGCTTGGGCACGGAGTTTATTAAATAAAATTTGTGCAAGATCAATTAATTGCACTATTATTTAACTCTTTGTTGTCTGCAGTCTGGTTTTGCTTTCAGTGGACAGCTTGGAGATACTTGCCTAATAAGAAAGTAATTCCATCCCACAGTCCTGTGTACACCCTCAAAACAAACCCTTTTGCCCTTCTCATCATGGCTATGTGGTCATGGTGGAAATTAATAATAAAGTTGGAGTCAACACTATGCATTTAGCAGCACTGCTCAAGAGAAGTGAGAATCAATAGAGTAACTTTTTTCAGGTGTCATGAGATTTTCAAGTAAGCTCAACAAATGTAAGCAAATACAAAATTTGTCTGTGCAGTTTGGATCGTAG